CGGAGAAGCGGGTCAGCGTCTTTGGAGTAGTCATGAAGAACGAATACCATCTGATTTCGATCGGGCCGGCCGCCAGCTCGTCCGGTTCCGGTATGGAGATTGTTCGGGTCCTCTACGCCACAGACTCCAAGATCTCCCAAGATGAGATGGAACACATTGAAATCTACGATCTCGAGGGCCGCTACGTTCTCCGAGTGTACACAATGCACGAAGGCTGCTCGTCGTACTCTGGGGCCCCCATGCCCATCCCGCGGTGGACGCTGATGTCGCCTCACTTTCTCGAGGAGGATGCCTGGTATGACACTTTTGTCATCCACCGAAGCGCCCACGTCACGATGCCTGGCGGGTGGTCTGCCACGCCTAACCAAGCCATCGCCTCGTCGACGAACGTGTATGCATACTTCCAGCCCAATACGCTGGTCGTGCAAGATGAGATCAACTACGGTCTTCGTACCCGCTCCGCCTACGTGCTCCCGAAGTATCTCCTGTGGAAGGAATACGGTCTTCGTGGGCTCCGGAAAGGCCATCCCAATGACATGTTCTTTGGTGGCGGCCGCTACGCCGATACATTGGGGCCTTATTTCCGCAGTATCTATGACGACAGAGCGTACGACGATGCGAACCCGCTCTTCCCTAGTACCTTCGCCTTGGCTAGCAACTCCGACTATCGGTCGCAGCGGACCATTCACATCGACGCCTTCTTCCGCCGCATTCGACAGGATCGACTGAGGCTACTAAATAATGCTGTGACAGTTACCTGCGCGCTCCCGATAACGTGCAGAGCGCGCCCTGGCGCCACCCTTTCGTTCATGCGATTCGTTGCGCTGTATCCGTGGGCTGTCATCGATGTCGGTGCGGTGCAGGTCAAGAAGGGCGCGACCAAGGCAAAGACGGTGGATTATGGCAATAAGTGGTACAAGTGGCGTCGACGAGCGGAAGTCATTTGGCAGAATATCCGTATGCTCTTCCGCGTCAGCACCAAGGCCGTGGAGTCCGAACCGAACAAGCAGCTCTTGACACTGCCACTACCTGGGTTTTGCTCGTTTGACAACAAGCTGTACAAGCCTCCTCCGGTTGGAGCATCCTTCCCCTCCGACCGCGATGACTCCTTCTGGTCGTTTGTACTCGCGACCACCCCGTACAGCAAGGAAAAGTTCCCCAGGCGGGAGTCTTGGCTCCAGACGTCGGTGGCGGCGTCGGGCAAGGGCCCGGCCAGCCCGTTCACGAGGCTGGTTGAGGAAATCTTGGAGATGAAGGATCGTGACCTCCAACTGACCTATCTCAAGGTCGTGTGGCTGGAGAAGCTACTCGCCTGGAAGATGCGCACTTTCGGCCTCAAAATTTATCTGACCCGGACTGCGTTGCCCATGCTGGTGCTGTTCGTGATCCATCTGACGGTGGGGATCCTCCTGACGGGAGGCGATGGGCGCACCGAGGACCGGATCGGCCGGTTGGTCATCCTGCTGGCGACAATTGAGGCTGCGGCCTCGTGCTTTATTCTCTCAGTCAAGCTGCGTCAGGCCTACCGTATCCCGCGACAGTTCTTCCGCTCCATCTTCACCTATGTCGATGGTACCGCCCTGTCACTGGGTCTTGCCATGTTTTTCCAGATTGCCACCAGGCATGCGCCGCAGCGAGCGTTTCTGGGGTTTTCGACGCTCTTAATCTGGATCGCGGCAATCCTCATGCTGCGCATCTACAAGCCTGTGGGAATGCTGCTGCTTTTGTTGACGGAGACGATCCAGGAGATTTTCTCGTTCCTGGTGCTGCTCTTCTTCATTATTTTAGGTTCGTATATCAACTGTAGCTGAACATATAGCTGACGATGTGACAGGGTTCGCCTTTGTGCCGTTTCTCCTTTTAAGGAATACCGAAGGCACCGGCTCGGCACCCAACCCCTTTTCCAATTTTGCCATGTCCTTCGCGAATATCCTCAACTTCATCTCGTCGGACTACGGTGCGCTGGAAGCCTTTGAGGACTCGGCAGCGGTCCGCACACTCCGTGCGCTTTACATCATCATCATCACCATCCTCTTCCTCAACATTCTCATAGCGATGCTCAATCTCAAAATCAAAAATGCCGACAAGAACGCGGCCAACCTGTACCACCTGCAAATGGCGTCCTTGCAAATCGAGATCGAGCTGGGTCTGCTCTCTGCCTCCGAGCGCCGACGCAGAGACTGGTTTCCGCAGTGGTTTAACTACAGCATGACGGAGACGGAGACGCGCATGTGGGAAGACTACGTCGAGAAGAACAAACTCAAGTGGGACGAGGAGAATGACTTTGACGAGACGAAAGAGGACGCGCCACCCCCCCGGCCTCTTCGGCGTCCAGCAGCAGACGACTGGGCCGTCCCCCCAACAGGCCAGCTTCCCGCCACGAGCACCACCGCCGACGAGGATGACGTTTGGGCCACAAGTCCAAACGTTGATGTCGCCGCGGAAGCAGAAACACCGCCTCTTCCCCAGAGCGCCTCCTCGCCCAGCTCGTCGGCAACGCGCCAACCCAACAACGCGACCACTGCACCGTCGCGGTGCGAATCTCAGCTTCAGTCGCAATCTCAACCACAACCTCCACCTCCAACCGCCACCCCTTCCCCCTCACCCCAACCCGCGGCTGCAAGCGCAAGCGCCAGTTCCAGCACCACGACCGCAGACTCCTCCTCCGCCAGTCCCGGAACCGAAGGGACGCTGGCCTGCAACGTCTGCGGCGCGCCAGGGAAGCGCTGCACGGGTTGCAGAAAGGTGGCGTATTGCCGCAAGGAGCACCAGAGGGCAGACTGGAAGACACACATGTCTGTTTGCAAGAGGGATAGGGAATTGCAAGGGGGGCAAAAGTAGTAGATTCAGGATCGGCGGAGGAGGGGAAGACGAGGTTTACTGGCACATGTATGCGTGTGTGCGTCTGAGACGATTCTGTGGCTGTCACTTGGCTGACAATGGTACAATCGGGCGAGCAAGAGCACTGGATTTAGCGAGGGAGACATCGGCTTCGGGTTCAAGTTGTGCATCATGCGGCATTTTGCGTCCGAGTAAAACTATTCAGACTCGTTGCTGCTGCCGTAGCCGATTCTCCATCTTTACCAGCGTGCGCGAACTCATAGAGGATGTCTGCAGCTGTTGGATTCAATATCCGTAGATCTTGTGCTGGTCGAACGAGCCCCAGCTGTTCCACGCGTGAACGGTAGTACTCCCCATACTATATTGTCACTAATGTCGGGTTCTTCGTCATCAAGCCATTTATAGAGCGACAGGGACGGTATCATCCAAATTTCCGGCTGCCGTGAAGGTTGCCGGATACCGGCTCACAAGGTATATTGTACAAAGCAAAGGTGACTTACTGAGTTTGTCGGCGAACTAGAACAAAGTCGAGCATAGCGTTTACTACCTAGGATCCTGGGCCGAGCATGTGCCAGCAGCGTTGTCATGTCCCTCGTTGGGGCGCTTGTTGAAATAAGTGCCCAACGTCCCCAAAGAAGCCAATTTCAATGCTGGTGCATTGAAGACTTTAGTCCTGTAACTATGTTCGCAAGAGGATTTCGAGTGTAGGTGGTCGCCTAATATTACAGTTACTCCCCACTAGACTAAGCGATGTTTTGGTGAGGGCGGCAGATTGACCATGGGCTGTCGGCTGAAAATATTCAGGGGCCCGTACTGTTGTGCAGACTTTACCAGAATACCGTTGTTGCTCCCCTTCATATGATATAGAACGCGCTCACTTAATTATGCAACAATTTCTGAAGCGGATTACTGTTGGCGCGACCCACAACTATATCTCCGTGCTGTCAACATCCACGAACTCCCTCTCTCTTTTCCCTCCTAGTTTAGTCTCGAAGTTAGTTAGTAATCTACTTGTTAAACATTCTGGAGCTCTCTTCTCTTCCATGTGCCATGTCGTGACATAAGGAGGACCCGGACGAAATAGATGTTAGGGATTTCTTAGCAAGTAGGTAGAGTCTAGCGATAAGTATTGTAACAGAGCACTTCGGGGTTCGGCGTGCACGTGCAACAACGCACAGAGGCCTGTCCAGTAGGTCGGGAATCGAGAACGCGATTCTGGTTGGCACTGACAAGGCAACACCACCAACACCACCCAGAGGAGCAGCGGCTAGGGTACAAGCACCAAGCACAGCGGCAGCATCGAGAAACAGGACAGGATTGATCAAACACTCAGGAATTAGGTAAACGGCACCAAAAAGCCATGGAATTCATGATACTCTGTCAACTGTAAAGAATGGCACTCTGCCAGCACTGTAAACTGTCCCGCACTCTCCCTGCCAGCCCATTTTGGTTTGACACGTGACTAGACAACTCTCCCCCCCTGCTACCACTCTACCAGCCCGGCCCTGCCCAGCACAGCCACTTTGCCTTGTTGCAATAGTAGTCATTGTATTTAGCGTCGATAATCTAGAAAGCCTAAAGAATATATAGTATATATAAATCGCAGAGACACGAAAACAGTGTTCTAAAAGCTCAGTCATCTTGGCGGGGTTTAAAAGAATTTAAGGAAAGACACTCTCGCCATACGTAAGAAAAACATAAATTTTGTTAGCCAGAGAGAAGGAGTCGAGATAGCTGAGTTGTGTGCTGCGAGAAAATATCTTCAGTACTCGAGTCTAACCGGGGAGGGTGTCGATGATGTGTTCGAGGCGGCGACGAGAGCTGCATTGCATATAAAAGAGGAACAAGGACGGTAGCGTGTGTTGTGTGATTCTTTGACTGAATACGCCGTAGATTTCAGGGTCCCTCATCTCCTGATTGTTGTGACTATGTGAATTGTGAATTGGTGAACGACAACGGACACTCGCGGAATGTTAGGCACAGCGTAAGACGAGACTGAGATCTGAACTTTGATTGAACTCAAATACGCCTAACGATTTGGTGTTCCAAGGCTAGGCGCAGTTAAGCTGTATATAATGGTGTAGATACATACTAGAAAAGAGTGTTGTAGGTTCTTAACCTAATGAACGAGCTATTAGATTGTAGGACCATTGAAAGACTCATGTCTCGACCTTTGTCTCAAGACCTCTGAGGCAATGGAAACCACCACTAAGAGCCGCATCATTCTGTAATAGAGCCGTCGTCCTCTGATCGTCTAATAAATCGTTGGACTCAGCATCAAGAGTCCATTCCAGAAATTGATTGGTGTAATTAAGCTGCAAGCTTATATCCAATACACCTAGGCTCTTGCCGTACGTTGTGACCTTCTCCCAATCACGTTGGACGTTCTCCAGATCTCGAGAGAAGTAGGCAAAGCTTCGCTCAAATATCTTCAGGTTCAGTTCAGTCGCCATGGTCGGCTTGAAGTCACTATATTCGTCCTAGGTTTTCTTAGGCTCAGCAAGGACCAAGTCAGAAGCCTTCTTGACAGCGCAGAGAAATGCCTTCACATTTTGGGGTTCTTTTGTACGAACGTCTCGTTCCCGGTGTAAAGGATAGAGCAGAAGCAGCAGCAACCAAGCTCGGCGAGTTCGTCGATACGAAGCATCTGAATGTCGGTCTTTGGATCAACCCTGGTTTGCTCCTTGGGAGGTCACAGTGCGGGAGGGGTTCCTCCAGGCGGCCAACGACGGGGCACGTCTTGTCGACAGCCTGACTAAGGCTAGCAAGAGTAAGTCAAACCGGGCGATAGAGAGATGAAAGACCGAATTTGGGTGTCTTGTCACCACATTTGCCGTTGGTCGTCATCGAAAACAATGTCTTGAACTCTGTGCCACGGAAGGACGCCTGGAGCTCACTTGAAGACACAAGAAGCAGCAGTACGATATCGGCCAAGGCAAGCGCTTTTTTGATATAGCTACACGATACAAAGGCCCCTGGTGTGGATGAGGCTCTGGTCTAGGATCGACGTTTCATTCCTCTCCATTCGAGGCATTTGCGACTATCTAGACCCCGGGTTAAGTCTGAGTGCCTCCAGTGTTTCGCTAGTTTGGTGTGCTTAAAGCTGTCCTTTACCGCGCGGCCAGGCCGACCTTTGTAAGGGGGTTTACCGATCACTGATGCCCCTGAGCTTGATCACTGATGCCCCTGAGCTTGATCACTGATGCCCCTGAGCTTGATCACTGATGCCCCTGAGCTTGATCACT